AATTTAAATGGTTAAGGTTTAGAATCGTTCCTCCTTCGTGTACACCTATTTTGGGTACCTACTGACGGACAAAGGTTCGGTATGACTATACCTAGGGTGATCGTTCTATGATTCACTATATGCTTGGTTTCGGCTCTAACGGAAAAAAGGGACTCGAATTGTCCTTGATGTCGGTGCCCCCTTGGGCTGCCAGACCCTCGATCCTCACCCATTACAGGTTTCAAACGGAACGGGTTCAATTCGAGGGGATTCACTGTCTTATACCCGTACGAGGAATAAATCCCTACGAAGGTATAAGGTATGTATCCCATGGGTTATTTGCTAAAACTTATACGAAGAATAAATTCTTACGAGAGTAAAGCATTCACCCCGACTAATTTGGATCGAAGCTCGTGTCTAGAGCTTATGTTATGCAAATGCACGTGATGTGTGTGAGGAGGAATGTACCTACCTTTGACTCAAAACAGAAAAGAAAAAAGAAGAAAAAAAAACGACAAAAACTTGGACCGATCTGAAAGAAAAAAAATCAAATGTTAGTATGACAAATAAAAAATGAAGCAATTAAAAACTTCAATAGACGGATCATAAATTAACTAAACACTCGAAATCATAATTTCCACCAAGACGACAAAGTATAAGCGACCAACAGCTTGACTCTCTAAAAAAAAGATCCCCAGCGGAGTCGCCAAGCTGTCATAACCATTTTTTTTAAACAATTAAATAACATTTTAAAAAACGATTATGGCTTTAATTTGGAAAAATCGGGAAATTTGGATTAATTTGAATAAAATAGAAAAGGGAGTCGCCATCGACCTTTGGGTTAGGTAGGTCGAATACCTAAAAACGTCTTTTAAAACAATTTTAAGAAAAATCATTTTTTAGACAAAATTCGGTATGCGTTACCAAAGATTCGATTAAATGGATTCGGGAGTCGGTTACGTGTGGGGAAGGAATACCACCCCACAACGCCCAAAAACTGGTACTGTGTCGCTTACACCTTGTTGTAAATGGTGGAATTTATGAGTCGAATATAAAGTTAAAATGTGATCCGTTTATTGAACATGGATTAATTCACTTTGAACTAATTAATTATAGAAAATTCTTTAACCCGAAAAGAAATCTCGGAATTAGTAATCCTCCATCGGGAAAGCTAACTCGACTATTTCTTATCAGTAAAAGAATATTCCATCAACATTGATTAAGAAAAATTGAATCGAAATAAATTAACTATCGACCTCTACATAAATTAAATTGCCATATAAAAACACATTGAATCATAAGAGATTTAGTCAGTAAAATAAATTAAATTTATTTCAAGTCTTATTTCGTTTGAACGTTGTATCGGATTGTACCACTTCGGTCAAGTGATACTCTCCACACCCATTCTACAAATACATTCTTGAAATATTCGGATAACATTAATACTTAAGGAAATGGAAATAAATATGATTAAAAAAATGCACAATAAAATATTTACAACAAATAGAGTTAGGCATATTTATTTACATTTGATACAAATGACTACATAACACGAAATATGTACATACAGATTGAAATAAATACAAATGAATGTTACAACCCAAAATATAATGGTTAAAAAGTAAGTATTTAATAATTACAATGACTAACATGGTAATAACAAATTAAAGGGCTAAAACAGCATAATAGAAAATTAAAAGACTAAAATGGCAAAAACAGAAATGTAGGGACTAAAATAGTAATTAAACCGAATGCAACCTAGTGACTAAAATAAACAGATTTACAAATCTTAGAGTCAAATTCGAACATCAGCCAAAATATACAACATACAAAATCAGTGACTAAAACGAAACTCATACAAACATTGTGGCCAAAGTAAAATATGAGTATAATAATAACATGTAATAATAGGACTAAAATATAAATAAGGAAATTTAATGATCAAAATAGATAAAACAGAAACTTACATGGCTAAAATAACAAAACAGAAAGTTAAAGGACTGAAATAGCATAAACATGAATTTATAGGACTAAAATAATAAAAACAGAAACATAAAGAACTGAAAAGCTAAAACAGAAAGGTAGAGGACTAAAATGGAAAAACAGAAACTTAAAGGGCCAAATAGAAATTAAACCAAATATTAACAGTGACTAAAATGGAAGAATTAAAAATATCATGACCATATTCAAGCAATCACAGAAACATGTAAGATAAGTGACTAAAATAAATTTATTACAAATATGGTGACCAAATTCTAATAACGCAAATAATATAAAATACATGGAATCAATGATTAAATTGAAATATTTTTAATTTATTAAAACCATTATCAAATATAGACAAAAATGCCATAAAACATGGATAGTGACTAATATGTAACAGTGAAAAGATAAAGGCTCATAGTCAAATAAAATGAAACTTCATTCAATGGCTAAATCGTGAGATTACAAAGATCAAGGACCTACAGAGTAGTTTACCCATATCCCGAAAACACAGAATTCCTCCCCTGTTAAACGTCGCCGTTTCGTTTTGGAAATATAAGCCCAAAACCGGCTTATCTTAGCTTCCCCTCTCTCATTTGGTTTTAATTCATAAAACAGAGGGAGAGAAAGAGTTTCAGAACTCTCTCAACTCCCACATAAGAGAAAAGGAATAACGCCGTCGCCGGTGGCGCTCACGGCGGCGACGACGGCGGCGCACGGCGGCCGGAGATGCCCAACAACCCTCAAAGAAACATCTCAACCCCTACTACTCAAAACCCCACTCCACTTTGCCTAAACACTACCCCAGTCTCCTAAATCTACCGATTTACCTCTCGAAACAACAAGACACGGTGACCTTTGAACTCCTTGCATGCCTTCGCCGAACCCCTCCTCGGTAAGCTTTTCTCTTCTCCTTTTTTTCTCTGTTTTCTTTATATATTTTTTTTGTTCTGAAAACTCCCGAATGGTCTCTCTTTTTTTTTGTTATCACAGCCTCTCCCCTCTGTTCTCTTTGCTTCCTTCCTTTTATCTTGCTTTGCATGTTGATTTTTTCGTTTGGTGAGATGATGATGTCTAGAATAGCCCCTGGCTTTCTCTGATTTTGTAAGATATAAATCCCGAATATTTAGGGATTTATTGGTATTTTAATTTGGGGTTTGGTTTTTTTGGTTGATTTGGTCCACTGTTGATGATGTTTTATTTTCTGTTTGATTGGTTCTGCTGTAGATGACTGTGGTGACGTGGGGACGACGGCTGGACCATCGGAGTGGACCGGAACAGTAACGGCGGCGTGGCATTCTTTCCTCTGTTGGGGCGGCTGATGATGATTTAGGGTTTTGAAACCCTAATTTTGTTGGGTTATCATATGATGGGCTCGGGTTAAGCCTAGGTTGGGCCTTGTTGTATTGGGCTTTGGCCTGCAAAAATATGTAAAATGTAATTAATAAACATAATAATAATAATAAATAATAATAATAATAATAATAATAATAATAATAATAATAAATATAAATAATAATAAAAAAGACCCGGACAAAAACGGGTGTCTACAAGACCACCCAACTATTTAAATACATTCAATCAGACCACTAGCCATTAACATTTAACGGAAGTGTTTATTTGACAGTTAATAAAAATTACTATAATTTACATTTAGTCTTTATTACTTACAGAATCTATGAAAGTGATCATAATTTTAAATTAATTCAATATATTTAATCTTTCAATTATATGATAACACGTGTTACAATATCATTAAAGGGCTTTTATTCATTTGATTTATATTTAGTTTAAGTATTTTTCCTCCGATCAATGGTGACATGTGCCATCATCTGATGGAAGGAAAACAAATTGAAATAACATTGTGTTGCGTTTGGGGAAATCAAACCTCTGCCTCCACCTCAACAACTGCTCCAAGACTATTTTCTGGTATAATGATTACATCACCTAATGTTTATCTTATAATATAATAAAGGCTAGAACAATAAAAATAGAAGCAACACTAAAACGACTCAGGTCGGGGCAGGTCGAATATAAACAATATATTTAAAATATATTATTTTCTAGGTGGTTCGAATATAAATATATTATTTTAAAATATATATTCAAATCGGATCGAGTTTAAGTAAAAATATATTATTTTAACCATTTAAAATATAATAAATAATTATAAGTATATTATTTTAACTATTTTAAAATATTAATTTATTCGAATCAAGTCAGGGTGGGTCAAATATAAACAATATATTTTAAAATATATTATTTTCTAGGTGGGTCAAATATAAAAAGTATATTATTTTGACCATTTAAAATATAATAAAATAGAAACAACACTAAATGACTTGATTCGAATAAATTAATATTTTAAAATATATCGTTTATATTCAACCCGCCCCACCTAGAAAATATATTGAATTAATTTAAAATTTTGACCACGTTGATAGTTTCTGTAAGTATAAGGACTAAATGTAAATTATACCAATTTTATTAACTACCACATCAGCACTTAGGTTAATTGTTAACTGCTAGTGATCTAATTGAATGCATTTAAATAGTTAGGTGATCTGATTGACAAGAATTCAAAAATAATAGTCGAGATGAGAAAGGACTATAGTTAAGTAGTCACCGATATTTACTTCTCAATTTTTATGAAGTACAAAGCACAAATTTTGGACAAATTGAAACACATGGACTAGTTTCTCACTTTTTGTGAATAAGGATAAAATCCATACCGAAACAAAGAGTATATTCTAGTAGATATCATAGCTTTACAAATTAATAGAATTTAATTCCTCACGTTTTTCTTTGGCAAAACTAGTAGTTTCTAATTTATTAATTAATTAATTCAGGTTGATTACTATAAAAACTTATCATATAATAAGTTTCTCAATTTTTTTATTTATAATATAATTATTTAAACCCTTAACTTTGTATAAAAAATCTAATATTTATAATATAAATATTTAAACCCTTAATTTTATATAAAAAAATATAATACCGAGAACAGGTCCAATAAATTTTAATACCGACGAGATCATAATTTTAAATTCTAGTTATCTCCGTACCTCTGGAACTATTTTGTTGAGGAAGGTCTCGGTGTCGTCACGAACATCCGAGTCATAATTCTCGTTGATGGAAAGAGAAGCACTTGTGTGTTGTACTGGAATGGTGAAATCGTAAATATGTGAACAAATATCATAAAATTAAAAATCATAGTGCAGAGGGAGAGAGGATCAAAGGAGTAAAGTGGAAAATAGTGAACGAGAGACACTCACGGAATAGATGGGCAAGGCCACACTTAAATTCAGAAAAATGGGGTCTGATTTCCTTCAATATCTGGTTCCCAAAAGCAAAGTTAAAGGTAAAAGAAAATGAATTATTCGGAGGCAAAAAGGAGTAGGCATGTTGGTTACCTGGGACGTAACAAGATGGCAGCCTCGCCGATGGGGAGGAAGAGTAATGGTCTTCTGAGCCCATTTCGTGCCGGGGACGGTGGCAGCCATGGTGTTGGAATCGACGGAGGATGTGTTGTACTGTGCTTTTACCGACGCAGGCTTCGATGAAAATAGTGATGAGCTTTGCATCAGCATCTTTTAGATTCTCTCTCCAAGTTGTAACCTAACCAGCTTATTTCAAATGGCTCGGCTACTAGCTATTGTCTATTGAGCTGAAGAAGCCCATACGCAGAGCAGAATTTCGAACGGGCTTTGCTATACTCCACAAATATCATTTTTTGGGCCTGACCAAATATATATACACATAATAAATATTAAAAAATTGATGTCCCCTCAAACATGTTATTCATCTTACCTATATATTAAGCCGGCATGTTAATACCACATTCTATTAAAGTAATAATTATTATTTATTTTTCGCGTTTTTAGTTCAACGGAAGAATAAATTAGTCGGGGAGCATTTCCTCAAGGTTTTTTCATAAGTTGTGGGAGGCGATCATATTCTAAGAAAATATAAATTTTTATATAAATTATATCTATTTTATATATTTTTTGTTCTTAATCTAATTTAATAATCATAAAATTTTATAATTTAGTATATTTAAATTTTTAATATAACATTTTGAAAGTCATACATGACTATTAAGTTATGTTAATTTTTTTTATTTCATCATTAAAATTTTAAAAGCCATATAATATTCATTAAACTTATTAAATTTTTATAAAATGATCATTATATCTTATAAAATAATAATGATATTAATAAGTTTAAAAATCATTTCGTAGAAATTTGATGTTTTAATAATTTTTATAATCTTTTAAAAAAGTAATAATTATTTTATAACTTTTAAAATTTTAATAATGAAAAATATTATAATATAATTTAGTGACAATAATATTTTTCATCCTTCCCTATCTTTCTTTGATGTTTCTCTAAAAGGTAATTAATTAATCAACAATCTAAGGGTGAAAAATACGCCGGGTAAGGTCAAAGGCCCACGTATCAGATAGATTCCGAGAACCAATAGCTTTACCATACGAGTACATACACAAGACACCAGTGTTAAATGCAAAAACAAAATACCTTTCGAAAGCCTAAAACACTAAACCCTCCACAATGTCCGCCGCAAGGTACGTCCTCCGTTCCGCCGCTACTAGATTGGCGTCTGTACCCAAGCCCATGCCACGATCCGCTTCCTCTCCCATTCGGATCTCCAAGCAAAACCCGCTCCCTTCTCGTGTTTTCAGGTAGTAGATATCGATCTCTCTTCTTTTAATTGTATTAGTAGATAAAAATGGTTTTAACATTGATAGTTTTCAATGAATTTGGAAAAGATCACCTATGGAGCTCAGCTGTTGTGTGGAAACGATGCAACCTTATCACACTGCCACCGCCTCGGCTTTGCTGACTTCCATGCTCTCCGTTTCTCGCCGGTGCTCCGGTTGGACCCCTGAAGGTATTTTAGATCCACTCTTTTTTCATGTTTATTAGTTTTATTTATTGGGCTTTCAAGCATCCAATTTCTAACGTGTGACTGCTTAGAATGTTTGTTTTTTTTATAATCGATTCAATTGAAGTTGAATTAAGTGAGATATACTGCTTCATTTACTAATAGTTCCTTCTGAGAAGTATTCGGGCATTAGATTCACAATCAAAGAAAACCATATTTGATCTCAAGAGTTAAATGGGTGTCTATTCCTGTGGGAAAATTCAACTCTTTGGTGGTTCCTAAATGTGAACTTTAGTATTTTGTGTTATGTTCTATATTTAATTCTTTATTGAATAGTCTCAGCGGTAAAAGAAAATGTTGATTTTCTTAGACGACTCGGTTCAAGTAGTTGCATCTGTAGGGTATGTGTGTTGTCAATATGCTAAGAAAAATTCTGAATAGATATTATTTTGTAGTCATACATATCAAGAAGGAAAAAGATTTACTCTCAAAGCATTAGAAACTAGGAATTGTGAGGGAGTAGACTGTCTATGCTAAGCATGGAAGTATTGTAGATGAGCAACAACCCCTCAACAGTAGTAGTCAAATGTTTCCTATCATACTTTTTCGCCTTTTTCTGAAACGTTGCTCGTAAGTGAAATGTAAGAAAGTATGTTCTTTTCTCCTTTTGTAGGGCAAGACAAGACTAGATGAAGGACAAGCAAACAGAGGGAGTGACTTTTATTAGTTTTACATTGTTAAACCTTCTGGAATTGCTACTGGGTTTTTCTTCAGTAATCAGTAGTGTAGTTGAGGTCCTGAGGAAACTATCTTTCTGAATGAATGTAAAAGGACGAGGCTGAGTGTCTTGTTCAAATATTCTTTTGAAATAAGCTGACTGACTGTCTTTTTTTTTTATAAGAAATGGAGGCCTCGTTAAAACCGCCTTCATAATTACTAGAACACCATGGGATATTCCAGTAAACAGCGGGAGGAAAAGAGTGCCTCAAAATTTATTAATAGGAAACAATACAAGCAGTTCAGTACAACAAAACATTTAACCCAACTCAGTAAAAATAAAACAAACAACAAAAACATCCAAAACCTAGACAAAACTCTCTCTCTTAACCTATTGAAATTAGTTTTGAACATCTGACAATTGGAACCTAGTTATGTTATCCGTTCTCCGTTGTGTTCTTTTGTTTTCTGAATAAAAGACTTGCTTAACTGTCATGAGCTTTCCAGGCAATGATATTTAGCTGTAAATGCAAAAACGTTAAATGCCTGAAATCATTGTTTCTTTTCTGTTGATTGTTCTTCTTCTAATTCATGCCAATATGAGGATATAAGACCAATAATGACTTGTGTCACTCAGATTGCTTCTTCCATTGTTCTTATCTCCTGTTATAACTCATATGTGATTTGACCCTTCTGTAAAATCCAGTGGAAATTAGAATAATCTGCATCCAATTTTGGGTTTTGTTGATGGATGATTCTGGTTTGATACATGAACTGTTCATCTCCATGAAAAATTCAATAGGCTTTATATATAGGATTTTATGTGGAAATATGATGTTAAGGCAAATCAGCCTATACAAAATTACAAATGTTGAAAACAACTCTGATTCCCAAAACCGATCCGAATGATGTTCCTGGGATAATTTCTGTCAACCACAATAGCATAAACTGATAACGTATGAATAAATATAATATGCATATAGAAACGATCTCAGAATGCAGGTCCTAATTGTTCAGCCTGATCTATCACACTGACATTATGAGGTATAAACATGAATCATTAGGCAACTTCATGAGAATTCCTTCTGTGGATAATCACTTGAGGTCCATGTAGTCTGTATCAGTCTTCAACTTCATTAACCAACTCATACTCTACAAGAGATAGATTGTTATCTTCTTTAACAGCAAAGTTAGCAGGAGCAGTGACATCGATTCACCCCATTTGTCAACAGCCAACCTCTTAGAACCATTGAACATATCGATCTTAGCATTACGAAGAGTTACAGTGACACCAGGCTTCATAAACTTAACTGCAAAAATGATTCAAGCATCATTATCAAACTGCATTTGAGTTTAGTGTTGCATTTTCATCTGCTACAAACATCATCCTGCATGAAAATTTGATCTGGTTGAAGTTTCTCTCTCAATGATTACTTCATGTAGGAACAAGATAGAAAACCCAAGACAACCATGTAACCTATAGAATTTCAAAAGACCAATATAACAAAATGTGTTCAAAACTTTTTCGGTTGTGAGCACATGACAATCTCACATATAATCCATCAACTAGTAACTAAGATGAAAAAAGCCAAGGATACGAAAGGTAGTTGAATATATAATTAGGATATTATTGAACCAGACCCCAGGAAATCACCACACTTTCCATTGTGAAATCCAAGTCGAATGCCTTGCAATGAGGCACACATCATGGAAGTTTATCATAGTAATCAAGAATACCCCATCCGTGACCCTTGATTGAAAGCTATGACACCATATTATTTAATTCAAATCCACACTTGCAATTAAGGGTGAACAAAACTCTAACTAGGCTCTTAAAAAATTGATTAGTAATTTTACGACCTTGATTTGATTAAAAAAATCAAATTCAAGTCAAATTATAAAATATAACTCGGATAACTAATTTTTTTAATAATTAATGAATTGAATATTGATTTTCAAGTTTAAGTTGGTCCCTCAACTCTACATGATATATGTCTATCTTATATTAAAAAAATGTGAATAAATATATATATCATATATGATTATAAAAAACTGTTTCAACTAAAATTAAATAATGTCGTAATATTATATATATTTATAATTAAATTTAAATTTAAATCCAAAGAATTTGACTCCATTTTAGAAAAAATAAAATAAAATTTAATTATAAAATAATACTAATCAACTGACTCGATAAAATATTCACCCTATTTGTACTAACAAAACAAAGAAAAAATTCAAATTGCCACCGGTGCAAATGAAATATCAAAGCTTTTGGCCTTAATTTGAAATAAGATATACCCTTTTAAAAAAATAAGTTCGGATCAGTGAAGCATAAAACATGTCAACAAACCAATAAAAAAGGGGGTAAAAAATGGACCCTTGATCTTCACAAGCAGTGAAGAGGATAGTGCCGGTGTCGTCTCCAACAAGGCACTCGGCGACGCTGGTTTGGCTTAAATTTTGAGAAGCGGGTGGACCCTTTTGGAGGACCAAGTTAGAGGACAAGAGCTTGGCGAGTAAGGTGTGGCCATTGGTCCCTGGTTTTAGCTTATCCACTTTCACAAACACTGGCTTCCTTTTCTCCGTTGGTTTCTTTTGTTCTTGCTCTTGTTGCTTTTGCGTCCCTTTCGTCGTCTCCATTGGTTCCAAATCTAAAACCTCCACACTTCTGCCTCTTTCTCCCCCTTCTTTTCGGAGTTTGTTGGGATTTTCCTTTCAGAGCTTGTCTGGAGAGCGAGAAAAATGAGGAATGGCCTAGAACACAAATTTGAAGCTTTCTTACTTTTCTCCACGAAAAATGAAACTGCTAGTAACGGTTCCGTTTTTCCCTTTCGAAACGAGTTAAATTATGATTTTAGTCCTTGTATTGTACTAAAATTTGGAGTTTAATAATTTGTTTTAATTTGGCGTTCACTTATTTTTTATAATATTATCAATAAATTTAAATTAATAACACTATTAGTTGATGTTTTTAAAATTATGATATGAAAATGAACCCATTGAATAGCATTAGTGATTAGAGGGAGGTTGTTTGTGTTGGTAGAGTGTGTTTGTCAATGATTTAAAAAAATAAGAACAAATATCTTATAATCGTCCTAAATTTTTTAAAAATTATTATATAATTTTTTTATTTGATATATATATATATATATATATATATATATATATATATCAATGGGATAGTAGTGTAGTAATAAAGACAAAATCAGACTAATAATTCAGACCAATAAATTATTTAGCTCAATGGGATAATTTAAAATTTATTTTAATATCTATGACATTTATTATAGTGGAGGGTGAACTTGTTATTAGAGGTGACAGATTCTAAATAATTGTCATAGATTACTATTTATTGTCTTTTCTTTTCTCTTTTTCTTTTGATTCACGACTTTGTTTTTACTCAAAAGAAATATAAACAAATGTTAAATAAAAATGCTTTAAAATTACTTTAATACAAATTATTATTTTATTAAAACACATATAATCATAATATAAGGATTGTCATATATATAATGTCAATAAAAAATGAATTTTTAATTGAGATACTTATGTTATACATATATATATTGTTTTAATGTTACTTATGAAATTTCTATTTTCCATTCATTGTGTACTAAATAATAATCTTCTATTCAAATAATAATAATAATCTTGAATATAAATAAATACCAATCACAATATATAAAAAAATGAACTTTACTTTCCAGCGATTTTTTTTATAGAAGTTTGATTCGTGATTTTTTCAATTAATGATATAGTTTTGAATCAAAATTAATGATATATTTAATTAAAATTTGAGATTATATGAATTTATAAGGATTCAATATAAATTATTATATTCGGTTTACGAATATTCGCTTGAAGAAATAATCTCACAATACCAACAATAATCTATATTAGATAAAAATAATAAGTATCTAATTAAAAATTAATTTATATTTTTAATTATAATGTTATTATAAAAGAAGATAAGAGTTTAAGTCGTAATTGAAAATTTGTTACTCAAATATCATTCATTAAAAATTAGTTTTCATTCGCATTCATTTTCGACACTTTTTTGTATCACGTAAGGCAGAGGCTTGTTACATAGAAAACGCTTTTGAAAGCATGTTCTGCAGGATATGTCTTCTGTGTATACGGCAGTACCACGAGCATATGTTGGACAAAAATGAAAGGAAAAAAAAATTAGGGCAAAAATATATATCTCTTTTCTACTTTAAGCCCCTAAACTTTTTTTTAATCAAAATAAGGATATAATTTTGTGTGACATGTCAACATCTTATTGATTGAAAAATATTTTTTTAACTAAAAAATAGTAGAACTTTAAAAAAATAAATATAATAGTTTATAAAAAATATTTTAAGTACCTAAAAAGAACATAGTTTAGTTACTTAATTTTTACTTTAAAGCTTTTTAAATATTATACACCTCAATGCATGAAGTCTGTTGTTACTTGTTTGTAGACCATCAAATTTCAACCAGATTCATTGAGCTTTTATTTTTTTCAGATTTACTTAAAACGGCCCATTTTGGAACAGCCATTCTTTCATTTTGGGTCTGAAATTTCCCACTGCTCATAAGATTAAAATCCCAAACCCCTTTCTTTCAAAATAATACTAATATAAAATCCCAAACCCCCTTCTGATATAATATTTTCGCATTTGGCTCTTAAGAATTATTTGGTATTTTTAATTTTATATATTTAATAGTGTCAAAAATAATTTTACATTTAGCACATCAAATTCAAGTACTCTGTATCCAACACATAATTTTGTTAAAGAATCACAGTTCATCAAAGGTTTGAAAAGATAGTTTATTTCTACAAAATTACATTAAAACACTAGGGATAAACCTCAACCATTTTGTAGTGAGTGAAGCCTGCTGCCATGAACAATGTTTCCTTTCTTGTTCAATTCTTTCTCTGCCGGTAACCACAACCATCATCAACACGTCGAAGAACAGCTTGGCTTCGTCTTCATCTTTCTCCACATTTATCACTATGTCTATGATAATCACCTTTCCCTTTTTATCTTCCCCTGGGATGCCTTCTCTACATCTCTTCCGTGTCTTCATGCAATCCTCATCGCTAAAAGCATGTAAAACAAGCTGCAAAAACCACTCGTCTCAAAAATCA